TCACCCGGAAAAAGGCTTGAACGGACTACGGGAACTTGAACACGAGCAAAAGACCTTGAATGCGAACTAAAGGCTTGAACGCGAGCTCAAGAAACAAAGCGCAGAAGTGACCAGCAACTGGGGTCCCCCACTATTTATACCCACAGTAACCAAGAATCAACGGCTCAAATCAAAGCCAATCCGACGGCCCGCAGTCGTGCTGACTGCATATCTCCTGAGACCAAGATGTGACTGGCTACACGCCTCTCGAAACTGACCGTACATATCCTCACATTAAAGGCGGCAGCGGCACGTTTTCAAATTTGAAAAGATGCCCGTTGTCGCATCTCCTAGCGGCGCGCTTTTTGAATTTTGAAATAAGGCGCGCGCTGTCACGTCTGTCAGCATTTGTAGGCAGATCGGCGCGTTTCCCATCTTTTGGGCGCTCGAGAAACCCAAAAGAATACTGGCAATGCACCTCGCACTATCAGTCAACCAATTCGAAGTACGGGACAAATCCACCCGCCACCTCGCGAACTCCCCGCGCCAGGGCAAGACCCTTAGCACGAGGAGTGGGGGGCAATTGATGAAGGAAGATTTGGCCCGACCTCGTAACCACTCAACACATGGCAAAGGCAACAGCTCGACAAGGTGCGAGTTCCGAAAGGAGGAACCAGCGGTCCGAACTCCCTGCAAGGAGCCCGAACTCCCAGTACGGGGCCCGAGCTCTTCCTTAGGCCCCGAGCCTTATGAACACAAAGGGCAACAACCCGAACTGGCCTGCCCCATGGCAGTTCGGGCCACACCTCTGTCCGAACTCAAGACTTCACCTCGCACACCACTCCAGCACTTCGCCCCCAGGACACCGAACTGAACTAATCGTACCTAACACCGAAGGAGTCCATATCTAGGGGTGGCGCACCTGACTGACTTGGGATCTGACGCTTGACAGCCGCATTCCAACGGCCACCTGCCACCGCCACCTGCCACCGCCATCTCCAGTTACAGAGACGGCTCCGACAAGGAGTAGTGGCGGTTCTGTCCCAACAGAGGTGATGACACCTGAATTGGCAAAAGCACAAAAGTAATCATACCCGACCTGACAGAAGGCTCGGAGTGAGTGCGCGAAGTGGTTATAAAAGGCTCTCTACCCCCCAAGGGCAAGGTATGTGAACTTTGAGCCATCTGGTTTTATCTTGCCTTTGAGAGAATACTAACTTGAGCTCGGAGTGATCTCGCCGGGTTCCTCCCCGGAGATTCCCCACTTTCTTCTCCGTTTCAGGCCCCCCTGTTGCTCCAGTCAGAGGCAAGGTCGTTGACAGGTAGGACCGACCGGATTGCGCATCATCAGGTCTCATCCCCCACCCTCTTTTAATTATTAATAATTTCTTCTTTTTCTTAAAAAAAAGGGAACATTTTCCATATGAAGCATAAGCTAATCTCCACATAAGTAAGAAGATAGTTGAGTGTTTTTTAAAAAAAAAAAATCATTTACTATCTCCAGTTCATATTCTGATACTGAAGTGGAATTAGAAATAACTTGAACAAAGCAAAGTTTATTATTGATGTTTATCCAAAAAAAGGGTGATTATTAATGGGGTAAATTTCCCAATTGGTGTAGTGAGTTGATAAACCATATTCAATTCAGAATTTTCAGTAAAAAGGTAGTGGGCCGATGAAACCTCAATGTTAAAAGTAAGACATACAGAAAGATATTTCTTGATACATCATGTTTTCACTTTCAGGTTTACAAACTAAATGACCTCCAGGTTTAAGCTTCAACTGTTCCATTAGCAAAGGAGCAAATGGGAAATTATTGCATCAGATCTGCTAAGTTTGATACTGTTTTCATCCGCTTCAGATCGAATCAAATTCATTACATTATCCAAGAAGCTCCCTTTTGTTTAGTACAGAGGTATGATAGTAAAGGTATATTGAAGTCTTAGTCAACATTGAACAACATCATAGAGCACAAGAATATCAGCCTTTTCAGCTTAAAGTGGCAACCCAAATCGAAGTGATGATAGCCACGCAATTGATTGCATGGCAAAAGTTTCTTCTATATATATGGATTATGGATCTTGATTGAGTGCAATTACGAAGCGGGATCCATGTAGTGTAGATGGTAAGGTTTTGTTGAATTGAATTAGTTTTTGTACCAAAAAGAACATTGTGACAGGTACTTGCAGACTGGGTTTGTGTGAGTTAAGTGTCACACCATCACCACCCAAATCCCTTGTAAGTTCAAACCACCCACCACTAGAGTCTAGAGCCACATGGGGTGATGATATAACCAATTCAAACCACCCTCCAGATAGAGCCATTCTAGTTTGGCCACGTATTAAACCTTACAGCCTAAAATTCCTGATCTCGATTTAGTGTTTTCCCAGTAACCATTGCAAGTATGAATAGTGTTTATCCTGACACATAGCAAAGATGTTTTGAACTCAAATTTGACCATTGGTAGAGAAATATGCGTATCCTTTTGGGCCCAAACCAACTTCTTAGACACTTGAAAGCTACCTATTTTTGGCCGAACAACTCCACTAGCACTGCTGGCCTCCTCTTTGTGTCTGTGGGAAAAAAGGTTTCCTAACAACCAATTAAAGTAGGCAGCTTCCCTGCACAAACAATCTATATTTTGTCACAAGGGGGGGGATCTTGTTGTGATTTCAGATTATATATCCAAAATGACCCACTGGATTAATCACATGTTCAATCTCAAAATCTATATGAGCCATATGCCTCACCATGCATTTGGTAGTTTTCATAATTTACATATGTATAAAAGTAGACTAATTTTGCGTGCATGGCAAGGTGCATGCGTTCGACGAAAGGGTGAAGACAGGAACTTGGAGATTCCTTTGGGAAGAGCCCAAATATAAGGTCCAGAAATACTACATACAAGGTTTTGGACTAAACATATTTGTAGTTGCAGTCTTCCAAAACTAAGCCTGAGTTTTAAACTAATATCTCCTACACCCATTTCCCGCTGCCATAGGGATAATAGGGGAGCCCTCATGGACTCGATAGTTGAGGTCCGAGGAGAAAGGATTAACTGAATGAATGCAATAATAGCTGTTCGGCACTGTGGATCAGCCATGGCATTTCACTAATCCTAATTCATAGCTGAGATGGTCAGTTCAGTTGGCGAGACACAGTACGCATCAGCCCTTCTTGGAGGTGTAGTCACGTGCACCAATTCTTCCTACCCCTGATTCCCAATGTAATGCAAATTGCAAACTATAAGTAGGGCTCCGTGAAATGAGAGACGGTCAGAATCCATCAAAGGATAACAGAGTTCCACAGCCTTTAGATCTGAACATGGCCTGGCACTAATTTAAATATATCACGGGTTATTATCGCTTATCGGGGCATAGGTTTGCCAAACATTAGCCCTGCCCCTACACCCTCACCTTTGACTAGAAGATTTTAGAGTCAAAACAAATTGAGCCGTTGGAACTTGGAAGATACATCTCATGTGAGCTGATATAGTTGATGACATGAACCCAAGGGCCAAGGCAGAAGCCGGAACAGTAGGGCCTAAGCTAAGACCCAAACTGTACGTCTGGTTTGGGTTCAGAAATCAAAGTTAACGTTGAATGACCCAGCACCAATAGCTGGTGAACAAAACAAACGGGCAGTTATACTGGCTTAGGTACTCCAATATAAAACCGGAGACTGTGAATATGACCAAAGGAGGCAGCGAAATCTCAGGATATTTCTCTTTGTTAGACTAGAGGGCCATATTTATTATATCGGTAACTCTAGCATACAATGGTACAAAAAGTTACTGTTGGAAAGGGAGAGCCCTTCTCATTACCAACCATCTGGACTTGTTCAGCCTCTTGGATCAAGGGACAAATGTCCCATAAGGTAGAATTAGTTGCCTAGATTTTCTCAACTACCTTACCAAATTTGAAATTTTGACCACACCAAACAAATAAATAATTGACATGGTCATTGTTTGTTTATCTGCAAATAAGCACAAAATGGGAGTCAATAAACAAAAATATTTACCCATTGGTGTAGGCTATGCCATCATCAGCTATAGGATTTATCCATACACCAAGTTATTCTGAATTGAGGGCATTTGGCCACTCAGATCAACACACATAGCTTGTGACTAATGAATGAATGTAAACATGCCACTTTCTATGGGAAAGCGACAAGCACTGGCCACAGTATTGCCGTACCCATACAATTGTTTGATGAGGATTGCAGGAGTATGGCCTTAGAAGAAAAACAGGGAGGGGAAAACGATGCTTAACATCTATTTGGATAGGACATTTGGGCCTAAGCGCTAACCCTAACTCTTAAGGGTTTTTTTTAGTTATTGCACAAGTCTTTATGAGTTTGTATATAGTGATCATACAAATACAAACTATCCATCTTTTAACATGAAGAATCATGACAAATAGTCAAATAGAGTTGCTGGGCGAGGGGCTGGGGTGTCATAAAGGAAACCATTCCAAACACTTCACATGCACTTCGCATGTTGAATGAACGAGGGTATTGGGCTACTTATGCTCGCTCGAATAAGGTCTCAAGCTAGATGGTGTCACCTCCAGGCTAAATGGTCCAAAGTATTTGTTGGATTGGATTGGACCTCCATCTGTAATGGGTTTATATTGGATATTTGGATCGGGTTGGATTGAATCAATATCCAGTCCATTGATAGAAGATAAAAATGGCATGGGTCAATGGACCAGGTTTGGATTGGAACCAATCTAAAACTAAAACCAATTTGAACTGGTTGGATGGTCCAAACATTGAATTGGACCAACCCAAAGTGGTCCAAAATATTCATTAGACCTTGAGCTGATTGGCTGGTCCAAAATCCAAACACTGAATTGGATTGATCCAAAGTATTCATTGGAACTTGTTCATCTGTAATAGTCTAACAGACTCATATCGGACCAGATCAGATTGGACCGACCAACATCTCGTTCATTGACAGCCCTACCAATAAGCTTTCACTCACCTCATTTGTGATTGGTTGACCATGCAACCCCATCCTGTGGCGTAGAATAACCTCTATCTGCTTTTTGATAAAATAAGAGTACTTATTCTGAAAGAAATGGGGTTTACAGAAGGAGGGATAGAAAATGATTGCACAGAGCTCTTTTTTTTTTCTTCTTTTTAATATCTATAATAAGTGATATCTTCCAAAGATACTCCTACCATCTTTTCTATTTCCTAATGAAAGAAATTCCTTTCTCGATACTTCCTGCCAACTCTTTCTTCGCCTTCTCCAAACCCACCCTGTTCAGAATTATTCAGCAAAAACAAATTTGTAATTTCAAATACACTGATAACAGCAAGAATTCCAACTACACACATTTTTACAGTTGCAATGACAAACCTCTCGTATTCATTCAGGGGACCCAGTGGGTAAATTTCCTCTGCTCCAGCACGACCAAGACGTACCTTGGATGCAAAGAATGGGAGCTCTGTCACCTAAAAAAGGACAAAAGAGGAAGAGGATGAAGCATTATATTTTTCTTTTAACAAACACCCTGCATATACATTTGGAAGTGAAATTAAAAGGTCAGATGTCAGGTAGAAGATGAGAGTCGCATAAGAACCACCTGAGAAGCCACAAAAGAGCACTCTACAATTCCAGCATCACCTCTCAAGCCCCGCAGGCATGCATCTGCAAATTTAGCAGCAGCATATGCCTGCATTTCATTTTAGTATTTAAGTTCACTTCATTCAGTAGGCACAGCATTCATGCAGGGATGAAACACATAAATGGAGTGAGAAATTAAAGAAAACAAATTTACTAACCATTGATAGTGTTGCAGATCCAGCCCCAGCTTTCGCCTGCAAAGGATGTAAATAATTTCAAGGCTTCTCAATGACTTTATACATGTGTAATAATATTTTTGAATGCAAAATTCAGTGAATTTAAGTGGGAAGCATATTAATCTCCTTTTTTCATAAAATATTGTAGAGAAATCATCCGTAGAGTAAGGGTGCCCTCTTCTCAGTTGTCATCGTATCTTGTAAAACTCATCCACCAAGGGTATTACATATGTATTCACACCGACACACACACCCAAGACCATTATCAATAGCCATTAAGAAAAGTTAAATTGTGTTAGAATCAGAAAATTCGAAGGCTAGAAACAACAAACTGTCCTATGTAAATCATGATAGAGGACAGTATTCAATAAGAAACTTGGTGCAGCAGGGAGTTTGTTGCAAGCATTATAATGAAATTTGAGATACTGAGCAGAAAGGAATAAAGATGAAATGGAATGACATGGATAGTTTTCCAAGTTAACAATACCCAACAAAATTCATCCAGGCACTGGGTCTGGTGACATTTAGCTTGCTATCATATTTACCAAGGCTTCTAGTTTGCTTCTATACCAATATTAACTTAAATCCACAAATTTCCTGCTAAAATATGCAATCTGTAATTGGACCTAATCTGAACTGCACTTCTGCAGGGAAGCTACCGTTTCCTACGGTCAGTACAAATTTTGTGGTTAGAATGAGCAAAGAATAGCGTGAAATCAAATGCTAAAAGGTTAAAAAAAGGCTTGTAGTATGATAGGACTGGTTGAAAAGTGAAACCATAGAAAAAATACATGTCAACAAAGAAATACAATTAGAACTAATTGGTTTAGCTTGCAAAAGACTTATAGGAAAGATTGAACAAGATCACACAACATAAGGAGAATGGAGTGGCAGCACCAAATTTAAATCATTAAGGGAATTAGATCAACGTAAGATAAGAATAACACTTCACGCAAAAGTCACAAGGTATCTGTTGGTCTAGATTTTTTGGATTTGAAATACATCAAATTAGCTCAGTTAATTCTGGAATATGAATACCCTCATAATCAGTACTCTTTCCCCAACTATATTTTACATTTCTATAATGTATATACTACTACTGTATTCTTATTCTGTCTAACAATTAAAAAAACATGATATAATATCTTGAGCTGAAATTCTGACTTGAGTTGCTATTCTGGGACTGCCAAGTGGAACCAATTTTCTGAGTCAGCAAACTATGAAATTTTCGTTCAGTCAGCCCAGAGAAACTGCATTGCCAATATCAATGTTACCGGGTCCTCACTCAAATAGAAATTTGGAATGCAGAAACCATATCAGACATACTGGGCCTCCATTCAAAATTTTACATATTCGATAATATTCAGACATATTTGGGCAATAGTGAAATGTATCATCTTAAATCATTTATGTAATATTGAAAAAATGGCCATAGATAAGATACTAACAGAATGAAACTGGTCACTGTATAAGTTATCCTTTCAAAACTGATATCAACCAACTACATTTGACTCAAACAAGACCAAGAAAATTCCAATCTCAACACATCTTTGTTGGGTAACACCCCCCCCCCCCCTCTGTGCACTGAATTGATGGTGTTTACTTTTGTGCTGGCTAAGATGGCCTCTAATCTCTAAATTATTTTTCCAGACACACTATGTATGACACTCCATACAAGAGTTAGAATGCTTTTTACCTCAAGTCCTTCTGTTCCCCCATTGTGAAAGTGGTGGTCTATCAGGTAGTTGATTTTGGCTAACCCCCCATCCCCCAAGTACTGAACTGGTGGTATTTAGTTTTGTGTGGGCTGAGATGGCCTCCAATCTCTAAGTTGCTTCTCCAGACACAGTGTATGATGCTCCATAGAAGAGTTAGAATGTTTTTACCTCAACTACTTCTGTTCCCCCATTCTGAATGCGGTCTGTCAGGTATTTGATTTCTTCCTGAGTGAAAGAACATGGAGGCTTAACCTGCATATATTAATCAGAAGTTGGACATATGTTTGAGGGGTAAAATATGGAACATAAAGAAAAATCAGAAGATATCCTAACAACAAACAAAACATGTTGGAATTCTAAAACAATTTCTCTTGAACCTGTGACAGAAGAGGTAAAATTGTAACTCCTGCATGGCCACCAACAACTGGAACATCAACTTCCCTAGGATCAAGTCCTAAAATTTCAGCCTGAAAGAAAACCCGAATATTAATAGAAAATGGATAACTTAAAACACCAATAATGTGGACCATAGAAAACAACACTGCATATTAAATGATGATAGGGCTGCAACTTGGATAGCCTCGAGTTGAGCATTTGTTAAAATTTGAATTGGCCCAGCCTGAGGAGCCAAGCCTCATGCTGTGTAAATTCAAGTCAGGTACCTGACTTGTACTCTTAAATGATGATGCTCTTTCTTGACGTTGTACAAGCCATCGCACAGATGATTTTGCAGGTACTAAGATGAAATATCTTGCAATTGATAGTCCTTAAAGAGGTGTGATGTAAGCAATTAACCACCTATTGTTTGCTTGTATCATCACAGAAAACATACAACATGAGTTGATGGTCCATATAAATGGAATTAGTTGGCTATCAAGATTTCCAGTTGATATAGACTTGATGTTCCCCCTCTAATGTAATTCACAGTAATGATGTGGGGGAAGGGCTAATAATAGAATGAAAAGCACACAAAGCAATCTTGTTATCAACTGCTATAATAAGGGGAAATATACTAAAATTTTCCAACTGCCAAGATTGAGAACAAAAATAGCAGCACCAAATTAGCAGAACATACCACAAAAGTATTGGCTCTAACAACATCAAGCATTGTAACTCCCAAAAGCCGCTTAGGATCAAAGGTGCCAGCCTTCTTGAAAACCTCTGCTGCAATTGGAACTGTAGAGTTGACAGGATTGCTGATTAAGTTGATGATAGCGTGAGGACAGCACTTAGCAATCCCTTCACAAAGGGTCTTAACAATTCCAGCATTGATCTTGAAGAGATCATCCCTTGTCATTCCTGGCTTCCTGGGTACACCGGCCGGAATTACGACCAGGTCCATCCCAGTAAGAGCGCTCTCCAGTTGCTGCTGCCCCAGAAAACCACGCACCTGAATAGAACAGAAAAAATACAGTTATAAAGGAAATAGATATTTAAAATGTTATCAAGATTGAAGCTTTTAATAATGAGGAGACTGGATGCTACATGAATCAAATCATGTTATTTTCTTTTATTTCTCAATAGCTTTTGTCATTTTTTGGTAAACTTTAGCATTTGAACCAGCAATTTGCTGATCTAAAAACTAAAAAAGGAGTTATTTTTGCCAGTTGTAAGAAGAAATAAGTTCAACCTTTGAAACCCTGAAATAACACCATCTATCGATTTTCTTAAAACCCAGAAACAATCTGGTTTGGATGGTGAACTTGTACTCTCAAATTAACAAGACTATTTCACTACAGGAGTTTCCAAAACATTTCACAACAAAACCTCTTCAATGCCAAGGTTGATACCTGAATAGAAGCGTATAACTGAAAACCTCCTAGAATCCAGACGCAACATAACTAATACCGTTGGTCCAAACTCGAAACTCAAATTCTATAGTCAAGACTCAAATTATAGAACCTGACGAAAGCATAAGGCTTCAACCCCAGAGCGTAGAATAAACAATAAACTAGGAGAAGATCCACTGTTGTATGAGCTACTCGGAAGAGGGTGTTTAAAAACCGATGGAATCCCAGCAGGAAAGATGTCCGAAGTTTGAATTTTTCAAGAAAAAGAAAATATAGAAAGAAGGTTGATAGAAGAAAAATTACCACAGCACCAGTGTCCATGTGACTAACGTCTGCTGTCACACCGGGAGAATTGACAACATCGTAGAGATGGAGGACAGACACCAGTGGATTCATCTTCATCAACATTGCAAGAGGTTGGCCAATGCCTCCAGCCGCACCGAGGATAGCAACCTTAAATCCAGGCGCACCACCTTTCGCTCGGCAATTTGCCCGCCTCAGAATGGAGCTTTCTTCCATCTTCCAAAATAGGAAACCAAGGAACTTTTTCAGATGTTGTCAAAAGGGTAAACTTTGTAACATAAAGAGCTCCACCTTCCATCGAAGGATGAGGAACACTGAATTCCAAGAAAGTTTCTATACAATGACTTGAGCTCGTTATCCATTGTTCAAATGCTTAGCTAATGTCACCATTACTAAAGAAAAATCCCCAAAGAAAGACATGAGAAATTCCTTAATTTACCTAAAGAACATATAATTAAACATATCCAAGACCGGTAGAAGAGAAAAGAAACCAAATTCCAAAAAAGAAGAGAATTCCGTAAGAGGGCAATGAAGAAGAGAGTAAGACCTGGAGATTAGAAGAGCGGATATGAGCAGAGATCCTTGCAATACGTTGATTAACGTCAGCGCTGGATTGCATCTTGGCGTGTCACTGAAGAATGAAGAAGAACAAAGCGAGAGAAGAGTTGTCAGTATATGACAGTAGCTGGGTTTTATCGGAATGGAAGGATATGATAAGAAAGAGAGGGAGAGAAGGAGTACGAGGCGCCAAAGCTAACGTGAAGAGTGATTGGTGATATATCGTAAAATTGAGATGTGTGGAAACTGAAATTCCTTTTAAAGGGAATCCTTATCTGTTGCGTTGTGGTTCTCGCAATTTCCTCCGCCTTCCAATCCTCTCTTCTCCACTTCTTCCCCATCTCTGTTAATTCCTCTCTCTCTCTCTCTCTCTCCTGGACCGGAGTGAGGAGTAAATAAATCCATCCATCATCTGCACTGTACATCTTGGATTAAAATGGTGCAATAGTTATGGACCCACCAAGAATTAGGGTTACAAACGGATCAAACCGAATCAAATATTAGGCAGATCTCAATTTGAATCGAATCCGTCTAATTTATATCAGATTCAAATCGAATTCGAATTTCAATAGGATATTAAATAGTATAAAAAAGTAAATTAAAAATTTTATTCTTTTAAGCCTAATTAAAAATATTTGGTGTTATTAATAAAATGATTTAATACTATATTTCATGAAAAAAATGCAATGTTTTTGAACCACCGTTGACCCAGATGGTTGGACCATTCAGCCCGGGTATTATCTGGGCAACTGGTTCCATTTTACTCCAAATCCGGTCCTTGGTCAAAAACTGTTGAGTTGGTCAACGATTCATTGACTCGAGTGATCGAACTGCTGACCCGTTCAACGATCTTTTGTTATTTTTTATTTTAATTATTTTTTATATTTGTTTAATTTTTTATCAGAATGAACTGTTGGTTCAAACCAGATGGTCAAACCATCAAATCAGAAACCGGTGGCCAATATGATTCCAGTTTTAAGTCGTTTTTTAAAACATTGATGAAATGAATTGAACTTGGTTTATATCAAATTTAAAATAGGATTATATTAAAATGGTTTTAATAGTATATTCCATTTGAATTATATCAAATTTAAAATAAGAGTATATTAGAATGGTTTTAACAGTATATTCCATCTGGATTATATCAAATTTAAAATAAGAGTATATTAGAATGGTTTTAATAGTATATTCCAATTGGATTATATCAAATTTAAAATAGGAGCTATACTTAAAAAATAATAAAAAATTCAAATAGCTTAGGGGTAGATTCATATTTGATTCAATTATAAATAGGGGTGAGCATTATTTGGTTAAAATTTTGGTTGATTTGGTTTTGTAAAATTTTGGTTTTAGTTTCAGTTTTCAGGTTTAGAAATTTGTTCAACCAAAAAAATTGAATTAATCAAACTTTATTATCTATAATATATATTAACATATAATACATATATAATAGGTATAAAATATATTATGTTATGTACTAAAATATAGTAAAAAATTGAACCAAAAATTTTGATTTCGGTTCGATTTTTCATTTAAAATTTTAGTTTTAAAAAATTTGATTTATTTAATTCGATTTTTAACAGAATAAATCGTTTGCTCACCCCTAATTGTAAACATATCAAATTCGAATCACCTTGAATGGGACCACAAATTTGAATTCGGACCCCTATTTGCAGTCCAAGGTATCGGTGCTCTTTCCAATTAGGAAAAAACAACTAATTCTCAACCAAAATAAATAAATAATCACTTTATCCACGGAAAGAACCCTGCCTTGGGCCTTCCAAATCTAAGTTCGTTATGAACTTTTTACCTTTCGCTTCAGTATTAGAAGGTGAATATGTGGAGTTCGGATTTGCTGTCAATTCTATCCACATTACATCGATCTCACACATGATAAACATCTACATGTTATTATGCATTGGAGATGTTTCCAATACATTTTATTGACAAGTGTGAATAGAATTCTTATGGGCAAGGGTAAATAAGAATTCAGCTAGCTGACTGAATTGCTTATCCGTTCGGTGGAATCTCAGAGTAAATAAACAATATATACGCTACGGCCTACGAGTCGTCTTTTCCCTCCATCTCTGAATAAATAACAAATAAAGGGGATGGGCCTCAGCCTCATGCGTGGTAACTGGTAAGCTCTACGTCTCTAACAGCTACCCAATTAGGATAAGAGAAATGATGTCTCCACCATGATTCCAATTACGAGGTCGTAAGGTCTTATATGGTGCCAATCCATCATTTTCCAGAAAACATGAATGAATGAATGCTCAGTTACAAGTTTACTACTTACAAAAGCCAACTTAAATCTTGAGTTCGGAGTCTATTAGAATTTGTATAGAGATAATGCTCTTTATTATTATTGAGGTGTAATACAGAAAGGGTTTATACAGCAAAAGGGAGAAAGAAAGAAAAAAAGAAAATGCTAACAAACTCATAACTAATTCATAATTAATCTTGGCTAATCGTGACTAACTTTGTGAGGTGCTGGTGTTGTCTCTGACAGCCCCCCTCAAGCTGGAGCATACAAATTTTGAATGCCCAGCTTGCGGATTGAACTATTAAATGAGTGAGGTGGCAAGGGCTTAGTGGAATAATCAGTTAATTGGTCTTCAGAAGCTATTGGCATTAGGTGAATCAGACCAGTTTGCAACTTTTCCCGTACAATGTGGCAATCTATGTCAATATGTTTTGTACGCTCATGAAAAACTGGATTACGAGCAATGTGAAGTGTTGATCGATTGTCACAAAACACAAGAGCGGGGGCAACTTGAGGAATCTGCAAGTCTTTCAATAAATAAGTAAGCCATTGAACTTCACATGTAACAATAGCAAGTGCACGATACTCGGCTTCAGAAGAAGATTTGAAAACAGTTTGTTGCTTCTTCGATTTCCAAGATATCAAACTATCTCCCAGAAAAACACAGTGGCCGGTGATAGATCTCCTGGTATCAGGGCATGAAGCCCAATCTGAACCTGAGAAGGCTTTCAATTGTAGAGATGATGAAGCAGAGAAGAACACTCCTTAGCCAGGACTAGCTTTTAAGTATCGAAGACTTCTATGCGCGGCTTGCATATGAAGATCTATAGGGCAGTCCAGAAATTGAGAAATATGTTGGACAGCAAAACAAATGTCTGGCCTTGTATTGCATAAATAAATTAATTTTTCAACTAATTTTCTGTAAGAGGTAATATCTGGTAAAGGAGTATCAGTATCTTTATCAAGCTTTTGAGAGGTAATCATAGGAGTAGATACTGGCTTGCTGTTTATAAAACCTGTTTCCTCTAAGAGATCAATCACATACTTCCTCTGGCTGAGATTGATGCCAGTCGTGGATCTGGCAACTTCTAAGCCAAGAAAGAATTTGAGTTGGCCGAGGTCTTTAATTTTAAAATTATCATGTAAGAATTCTTTGACTTCATTTATCAAATCAATGTTATCACTTGCCAAAATGATATCATCAACATAAGTTAACAAAGCTAAAAAATGAGAACCGATTTGTTTTGTGAACAGAGAAGTATTAGAAACTGCCTGAGTGAATCCTTGAAACAACAAGGCACCAGTGAGTTTTTGATTCCATTGTCTACTTGCCTGCTTGAGACCATAGAGGGACTTAGTTAATCTGCACACTTTAGAATGATCAGATGTTTCAAAACCTGGGGGAAGGGGTCATGTAAACTTCTTCATGTAAGTCACCATGTAAAAAGGCATTGTTAATATCCAGTTGATGCAGATGCCAATTTTTAATAGCTGCAACGGCAAATAAAGTTCTAATAGTCGTTATTTTTGCAACTAGAGAAAAAGTATCAAGATAATCAATGCCATTTTGTTGAGTATAGCCATTGGCAACTAATCTGGCCTTATACCTTTCAATGCTGCCATCGGCGTGATACTTGGTTTTGAAAATCCATTTGCAGCCTATAAGACGTTTTCCTGTAGGTAAGTCAGTTAAAACCCAAGTATTATTTTGTTCTAATGCTTTGATTTCAAGTGCCATTGCATCCTTCCAGCATTGCGATTTTATAGCTTCATTGTAAGTTTTAGGATCTTTGGTTTGGGATATTTTAGTAGCAAAGATCCTATGAGAATAAGATAATTTGTGAGTGGAATAGGTAGAGGATATGGGGTGAGGGTTAGAGGCTTTGAAAATAGAATTGGATTTAAGATTTGGTATTTGACAGTGATATTGGTCAAGATATGACGGAAGTGTATGAGGTCTGGATGATCTTCTAGGTTGAGTTTTAGGATGTGTACTTTGTATGGCATCTGGCGAAATGTTAGTAGAAGGAGATGAATCAATGGTGGTATTATCTGAAGTGGTAAGAGGTGGTGACGGATTAAGGAAAGGAAAATTAGTAGGTGAAGATGTAAAGGAAGGTGGAGAGGGTTCCGCTAAAGGAACTTCATATTCTGTTGGTGGAACAAAGTCTGAATTATCTGTTAAAAGGGGATTAGAGTAAAAAGGGAAAGAGTATTCATGGAAATGAACATCTCTTGAGATAATGACCTTCTTAGTTCTGAAATTATACAGACGAAAACCTTTAGTTGCAGAAGGATAGCCAAGAAATACACAAGGATCAGCTCTAGTATCAAATTTGCTTCTATTTGTATCAAGCGTAGAGGCAAAACAAAGGCATCCAAAAACTTTCAAATGATTAAATAAAGGAGCAGTATGGTAAAGAAGTTGAAATGGAGTTTTGTTTGAAATGATTGGGGAAGGAGTTCTATTTATTAGATAGACTGCATGACAAATACAGTCAGACCAGAAGGAAAGGGAAAGTTGTGATTGAAACCTAAGAGCTCTAGCAACATTCAAAATATGCTGGTGTTTTCTCTCAACAATAGAGTTTTGTTGAGGAGTATATACACATGTAGTTTGATGAACAATACCTCTTGAAGCATAAAAGTTAGGCATATTAAATTCTAAAGCATTATCAGATCTAATACACTTTATTTTTGCAGAAAACTGAGTTTCAATCAAGAAACCAAAGTTTTGAATATGTTGTCTAGCTTCAGATTTAGTTTTCATAAGGTATATCCATGTATATCTACTCTTGTCATCAACTATTGTCAAAAGATATTTATGTCCATAAAATGAAGGAGTAGAAAAAGGACCCCATGTATCAATGTGAATCAAATCAAAATAGTTTGCAGAAGTAGATTGGCTGATGGGGAATGAAAGCTTTCTTTGTTTGGCATAGTGACATATAGAGCAGTAATCTGAAGATGGTAGTGATATAAAATGATCCAATTCTCTCAAAAGTTTCAATCGAGTATTGGACAAATGCCCCATCCTAAAATGCCATATATCAGTGGCATTAGGCTTATTACAAAAAGG